TAAGTGTACAATTATAGAATTTTGGTTAGAATTTTACACAAGCAAACCGGGGAATCTCCAGACTGCTACATAGCCCTCTCCCAGAAGGGACTGTGTAAGCAGTCCTTCGATCTACGTGAGGACTGTCCGTCGCGGGCCAGCCTTCTGCGAGACCAGGTTGTGAAACCCGATGCAGCTGCTGGGGGAGAACCATGCAATCGGACCCTAGCGGGCTCCCACCCGTGTCCTCCCTACGGTGTCGAAACGGTAAAAAAAACTGTTTGTGGGGGGGACAGTTAGTAAAGTTCACGTAGGCAGTTGAGCAGGAAGATTGTTGAACTTCCAGTTGGCGTGCGGAGATCCAGCGGAAAGTGAAACCGAGGTGCAACCAACCGACGATGTATATGGAAAGCAAAATGAAAAAGCAGCATAAATGCATAGCAATACACAAAGAGTGTTAAGCGAAAAACGTGCAAAGCTGTTTTTGGGTTTTCAAAAAGTTTTGCTCTTTTTTGGTAGTTTCAAAACGTTTTGGTCTTTTTTGTGGATTTTCAAAAACGTTTAGTAAGAGCAGAAAATTTCTAAGGCACGTTCTACGTAAAATAGTAAGTGCGAACGAAGTCCGAAAAACGAACCTTAGGTTTGAGCTTCCTACCGCGTCGATTGAGAGTAGGGCGAGTAGGAGTGCTGTCGGTTGTGGTTGTCGGTTCTGCTGGAGCGGACTGACTCGTCTGAGGTTGCGGTGCCAGCTGTGATGGCACAGGCTGTGAAGGTGCTTGTTGCACCGGCGAGTCAGACTTGTCGAAGAATGCTGGCTTGAGTCGATCAATGGTGATCGTCTCAGTGGTGTTGCGTCGTGGCTTGCTTATGTCGGGATCAGCTTGTTGGGCAGCAGCCATGGCGGCTAGATCAATGTTTGTGCCAGGCGATAAGCTGATCTGCTGAATGCGTGAAAGCGCATCCGCGACGGGATTGAGAGCACCTGAGACATGACGTACGTCTGTCGTAAACTGAGAAACGTAGTCTAGGTGTCTAGTTTCCCGCGGCGAGTACTTGTCTGTTGCGCCATTGATTGCGTAGATCAATGGCTTGTGGTCGGTGAAGACGGTGAAATGTCGACCTTCGAGGTAGTGACGGAAATGTCGGATACCTAGGTAGATAGCTAACAGTTCCCTACCGAAGGTGCTGTATCGCGATTCGGCAGGTTGTAAGCGCTTTGAGAAGAAACCTAGAGGTATCCATCGACGGTCGATGAGTTGTTGAAGAACTGCACCGACGGCAGTGTCTGATGCGTCAGTTGTCAAAGACAGTGATGCAGACGTGTCTGGATGGGCGAGAAGCGCTATGTTGGAGATAGCGTCTTTAAGCTTCTCGAAAGACAATTTAGCGTCAGTCTGCAAAGTGAAAAGACCGTTGTTTACCGCGGAGCAAGTCAGTCATTGGTTGAACAATGCTCGCGCAGTTAGGTATAAAGCGTCTGTAATAGTTGACCAGGCCAAGGAATCGGCGTAACTGCTTGAAGGAACTGGGAGCAGGATAGTCCTTCAGTGCCTGGATTTTGTCTGGCAGGGCTTCGATACCAGAGGTAGATATGCGGTGGCCAAGAAAGTCGATGGAGCTTTGGCCAAGCTCGCATTTATCGGGGTTGACGGTAACCCCATGCTGTGTTAAGCGCTGGAAGAGAGCGTCGAGGTGACGAAGATGCTCCTCGTCAGAAGAGCTGGCGATGAGTATGTCATCTAGATAAGGATAAACGCCTTCGAGTCCTCGCGTTACCTCATGAATGAAACGCTGAAATGTTTGGGCAGCGTTGCTGAGGCCGAAAGGCATTCTGAGGTACTCGAATAGGCCGAATGGCGTGATGACTGCTGTTTTAGCAATGTCGTCTGACGCGACAGGTATCTGGTGGTAGGCACGGACTAAGTCGACTTTGCTGAAGATAGACTTGCCAGCTAGAGCTGAGGTCAAGTCGTGCATGTGCGGGATAGGGTATTTATCCGGGACGGTAACTTTGTTAAGTGCCCTGTAGTCACCACAAGGGCGCCAGTCACCGGATTTCTTCGGCACCATGTGTAATGGTGATGCCCATGGACTTTTGGACGGGCGGATGATTCCCAGTTCGAGCATTTGCTCGAATTCCGCCTTAGCAGCTTTGAGCTTGTCCGGGGCTAATCGGCGAGGGCGGGCCGAAACAGGTGGGCCCTTAGTGCGAATGTGATGCGTGACGTTTGACGTCACAGGAGGCAACTCGTTCAGGACGCGAACGAGTTTAGGGTGCTTGCTGAAAAGTTCTAGAAAAGACTGTGAAGCTTGAGGTAGGACACGAATGGGAGTGATAGCAGCCACGTTGGCGCTAGTCCCGATAACACTGAGCTGTGTCCTAGAATCGATAAGCTTCTTCCGTTTAGCGTCGACGATGAGGTCGAAGCGTTGAAGAAAGTCTATGCCTATGATGGCGAAAGGCACAGCAGCGATTATGAAAGGCCAGCGAAAAGTTCGCCGGAGGCCTAAGTTGAGCGTTAGCAGCTTTTCGCCGAAAGTTGCGATTGGTGTGCCATTGGCGGCACGCAGCTTGGTCGGCGATGGTGAGACGACCTCATCTGAGCTACGGGGTATGACGCTAACTTCGGCACCAGTGTCGACTAGAAACTCGATGCCGGAAGTTAAATCCCTAACACGGATGAGGCGACTTTGGTGTTGGCCGGTCGCGTCCGTCGCCGTTACCGACGGGCCGCGAAGTTTTCCCTGCTTCTCGTCGAAGTTGCAGGGCTTTACACATTTACGAGCTGAGGTACCAAAACGCTGATGGTACCAACAGCTAGCCTGCCTGTTTCTAGACTTAGAACGTTTGCAGGGCGATTTTGAGCGGCTAGGACGACGACGGGTCATAGTAAGCTGTTGCACCTGGCGACTAAGTGTCGCAACTTGTGTTTGGAGGGCTTCTATAGTTGACTGTAAGCCAGTGATAGAAGTGCCCTGGGACGCGACGGCATGGACCTTGCTGGCGTTGGCCTGTGGCTGTGATCGTTCAATAACTCGATCCGCTAAGTCTGCTAGTTGAGTGAGCGGAACGGAGCTCACTGTAGCGAGAATCGCTTGTGTGTTTTCCGGTAGCCGCTGTAGCCATAGTTCGCGAAGTAAAGTCTCGTCCATGGTTGATGAACCAAGGAGTTGCTGCATCTCCCGTAGCAGGGTTGAGGGCAGTTTGTCGCCCAGCTGCAGATCTCTGAAAAGCTGTTGAAGGCGAACTTTCTCAGAGGGCATAACACGCTTAATCGTGGCCTCTTTGAGAGCCTCATAGCGGTTTTCGGTCTGAGAAATGATGACGTCACGAACCTGCGTTGATATCTCCTTGGGGAGATAGGACAGGAGCTTGCAATACTTCGCGTAGTCGGAAGTGATTTTGTGGTTATAGAACTCGGCCTCAAGAAGAGCGAACCACAAAACAGGATCCATATCCCAAAAAGGTGGAACTGAGAGAGATACAACACTAAGCATAGACTCTACCTTATGGTCTACAGATTCCATGATTTGAAATGACGCGAATAAAATAGGCTACTGTATGCAAAAATAAACCGGAAAATATGAAAAATAAATGGAACGAGCTCACCAGAGAAAAGTTCCAAATATCCGGCGCTGAGGTTGATCCGGATTCGGGGTCACCAATTTAGAGGGTTGCCTATTCCGGGAGCCCAGAGAGCGATTCCAGAAGACGGATCGAGTTGCAGGGAAACTTTTATTGGTTCAGCAAAAGATTCCCTGTTAGCTAGCTATAAATGAACGACACCGTGGACGCTCTAGCTAGGGGAACGGATCAAGCACAGCACACAGAGCAGTCGCGCGTTGCAACCGAAGCGAGCGCCAAGCAAAAATGGCGATGAGCAAGTAAAGCATTCGAACTCAGCAAGCAGTTCAACAAACCACACCGGTTGCCTAAGTGTACAATTAAAGAATTTTGGTTAGAATTTTACACAAGCAAACCGGGGAATCTCCAGACTGCTGAAAATGGGTGGTAAAGTCCTTAACCGTCAATTATGAACATGAATCTATAGTTAAGGACGTTGGCGACAAATTTGAAGGCGAAATTTGTCTTTCCACCGTAGCTGTATTAAGTACTCAGTGAAGGACTTTGCACCCTGTCCAATCAGAAACCTAGGTTAAACAATGAATGACAGACAGACTGGCGGAATATGAATGGTTGACCTTGGACGGCGTGGACCAATGGCCGTGCACGCCCCACGACGCAACGCACGCACCTAGCCGGTAGCTTCTGTACGCCGCACCTAGCCACAACCCTATACGCCGCACCTACCTACAAACCCCTGTACGCCGCACCTAGCTGCAGCCCCTGTACACCCCACGTATTGGCTACCCACCCAAGCTCGCACACCGCTGGAAGTGGGATCTCAAATCCCCACCTGCGTTTCCCGTTAATAATAATATGTAACGCAGGTAGTACTACCGCTTAGTAATGCAAAGTAAATGTGCGAGTCATAGCTATCCGCCCATACGACCTCTTTTCTCCTGCGGCGTAACATCCTGCTGCTAATGAATGGAGGAAACCATTGTTAACACGGCGCACAGGGTCAAGTCCCTCTACCCATAGTGATGCTTTAGTATTTCATTCCTAATAAGCACAACGATAGAGGGAATGGAATCCGATATTTTCACAGTAAGAAGTCCGTTTACCGACGCATAGTAGTGGATACATTAAATGGAAGGACATCAACATTGACAACAGAGGTCCATGTTCCGTTTGAACCGGTTACACTTCTTCCATGCTGTCTCACGGGCGCTCCAAGCCCACGAATTGGAAAACCTTATTTAAGACATGGTACTAAGTAATTCACCATTTTATACCTACTGGCTACTTGCACAACCTTTGGTAGTGTCGCGTCACGCATTGCCACTAATCGATTTCAAGTATTTCCTGATATCATCATCAGTTGACACAATACTTCCGGAGAAACGTTTTAATAGAGCAGCTACGACGGGGATGAAAGGGCAAAGATGTTGCTTACCTTGCACTTCGGTGAATAGCTTCATCTTCCGGAATCCGTGTTTGTTGCGGAGACCGGAGTAATTGATCTCCGCCATCAATGACCGCGTTAGAAGACGCTGCATCATGAGGCGTACAGTCTCCGACAACGTGTCTCCATGCACACCTTTCAGTTTAGACTGCATGCATATGTGAGGTATCAAGGAATCTTACCAATTGTTGAATGCATCCTGCATTAGTATAACAAATGACTGTAGTTCCTCCACCGATGTAATTTGCGAAGGAAGCGGCGTTGCCTGCTGCCCTGTTTGCCCGGCAATGGTTGCAGCCATCGATCTCATGTAACTCTTCACATACTCCAGTGTCTCCATATGTATGTATTCTCAACAGTCTATTAGGTAGACACTGAACATTACCTGAAAATGTATACCGTTTTAGGAATGTAGGAAGTTACCATCTATGAACTCCAGTTTATTCTTCAGTTGGTCCATATCGCCTGCAAGAAAATGGTAAAACCTCAAGTACATGCTTACGGTGAATGCCATTCCAATCGCTTGTAGGAACGGTGATGAAGGAGGAGTCAGGTAGACTCTAGGACTAGGACACTCAAGCTACAAAGTGTAAGCACCAATCGGAATCCGTTTTCCGAATCTGTTCGTTCGAATTTTTATCACAGTGAGATGCAGTATTGTACGCTGAAGTTTAATATTAAGAAAAATGTATCCCTTACCTGTATAAGCTGGTTTGTATCTGCCCATGTTGTATTGCTGGGAAGACGACTGACGTGGGTTTTACCCATCGAGCGGGCCAACTCAGTTAAAGAAAAGATAGCTAGAGAGCCATAGAGAACGGCTGTGGGGACCATGCGCTTCCTGGAGTGGCTCAAAGTCATCGGCAGTCTGCAGACTTCGGTGTACCTGTATGTTATTGGTGCACAAACGCCCTGTTTTTTCTTATATGAGGTAATCAGCAATAACATAGGGAGATTATAAATTACCGGTATGTGGTAATGGTTCACATTTTTTAGGCGTTAGGATCTCATTTTCCGTAACCTCCACAGGACAATCTCTTTGATCAATTTGTCCGAGGCATGTTTTCGCGCGCAAATACCGATCCCGCGCAGGCAATTGTCGGTTTGTACACCGAGGTCTCATTAATAATGCTGAACATCAAAGGTTATGTTGAAGATGGCGACGTACATATAAAAAGATCTTGATTAATAGAAACACCGAAACGTCGTGCAATATCGTCACCGATATTACTAAGCGAAGGCGGCCCGCAAAATAGAAAAGCTCACAATGAAGCTATCTACGTAGAGTACAAGTAATTGCGCAAGTGAAGATAACAATGCGCAAACTGTGCGTTAGGGCGATAGCAGCTAGGGCAAACCAAGGACAAAGCTTGAGAAATGAAATCAAGCTGAAAAGTTCATTTTTGCAATACTGCAATGAAAACACATATAGTGCTTCTTATATCTAACTCACGTCGAAATGGCTTACTACCAACTCAAACTTTTCTCCGCTATCGAAAATGCACAACGAAAAATAGAAGTCCACCACGGCGAAGCAGAATTGACAACCAAACGGAGCAGTGCCAGACGAAGCGGAAAATTTAAGGGCGCGGCAAAATTCAAAAGGTGGGTCGATGACTCCTTTTAAGAAATCATATAGGATTTTTGACAGAATGAAGCAACTAACCAATGTTATGCTTATATTTTAGTTAACGTAACCTACACATATATGTGCACCCCTTGCTGGAATACGGAGTAGATCAAGTAGCCACCCATATATTACTGAAGGACTTTGAAGGACATTTTGAAGGAGTTTGACGACCGAATAAAGGACTTCATGTGCTAGCAGGGTTAGATGTGTTGAGGACTTGCACATTCCAGTCGTCGGATCAGACTGTTGAAGCCCTATCGGCTGTTTTGTGCACTTCCTCTACCCAGTTTACAGTTATAGTGATATACAGAAGTCCTGGAAGTTCTTCCAGGGGGATACTTGACTTTATTCGCACTCAGTCTGCGAATAAGTGTTTAGTTCTAGGGGATTTCAACCTCCCGGAAGTCTGTTGGGCCGATCTTTCTTGCAATTCGGCATTAGGAACATTCGGTGCAGACTTCCTTGAACTGACTCTCCAAGTGCCTTTGCACCAGTTCGTTGACTTTCCCACTAGGTATATGGACAA